ACCCTCGAGAACATCATGCGACGACTGGAATGGGAAGGAATGGGAGTGAAGATAGATGGTCGGCAACTACACCACCTCCGCTTTGCTGATGACATTGTTTTAATAACACCAAACATCAGCCAAGCGGCACAAATGCTGGCCGACTTTGACCGTGAGTGTGGAAAGGTAGGACTACAGCTGAATCTTACGAAGACAATGTTTATGAGAAACAGCCTTGTTCCTGACGCCCCATTCGCTCTCAATGGAACGACCATCTCCGAATGCAACAGCTATGTCTACCTAGGTCGAGAGGTCAACATGACAAATGACCTGGCACCCGAGCTGCGCAGGAGGAAGAGAGCGGCTTGGAACGCCTTCAAGAACGTCTAAGAAATAGCTAAGAGGACGAAGAACCTCCGGCTCCGGGCACATCTCTTTGATTCCACTGTTCTTCCTGCATTAACATATGCCTCAGAGACCTGGGCCCTACGCAAACAAGATGAGAACGCCATTCAGGTCTCCCAAAGAAGAATAGAAAGAGCTATGCTTGGAATAACACATTTCACTCAAATGAGAGAACGAATCCGGAGTTCTGACATCCGTCGACGATCAAGGATCAGGGACGCTGTCTCATATGCCAAGGTGTCGAAAATCAGATGGGCTGGTCACGTAATGAGATTTAAAGACGACCGTTGGACTAGAGCTGTTACTGATTGGATTCCACGGGATGTCAAGAGACCGCGTGGCCGCCCACCTACCAGATGGTCAGACTTCTTTGTCAAGATCATGAACGATCGGTTTGAGGCCCTCCATGTTCCTGGAGCGAAGAGATGCCATTGGGCTACACTAGCACGTGACAGGGACAAATGGAGACGTTACTGGCGCCCGCTCGAGCAAATCGACGACTAACGGGAAGTTAAGTGATTAAGTGATTAAGTGAACCCCATCTAATTTGTAAAGTGTTTTCAACCTTTCATAATCCCGTAGCACTTTGAAGTCATACTACAAAAATTTTTAAAGCTGGTGTTTAATTGCATACAAAGTGTATTTTCTTTTTTTAATTTTTATTAGTGAAACACCATAAGGTACAGCTGTAGACTTACGAATTTTTGTGCTTGGATTTCAATCAAATACCCATCCCTCCACCAGTGACCATTTCCCACCACCAATGATCCAAGTATCCCTCCCACGCCCCAATCTCCCCCATCCCACCCTGCCTCTGTGGCAGGGCATTCCATTTTGTTCTCTCTCTCCTTTTGGGTGCTGTGGCTTGCAAAAGAGGCATTGAGTGGCAATCATGTTCGGTCTATAGTCTACTTTCAGCATGCTTCTCCCATCTTGGGCGGATCCTCCTAACACCCTTTATTTGGTGCTCCCTTCTCTATCTGAGCTGCTTTTCCCCCCTAGCATGTGTGGATGGCCTCCAAGTCATGGAATAAACCTCCTGGTACTTATCTCGGCTATTCTTGGGTGTTAGTCTATTTTGTTACTTTATGTTCCCCAGATGAATGCAATCTTTCTATGTCTAAGCAAAATGAGTCAGAAAGAGAGGGACAAAGTGTTATTTTTCAGAGCTGGAACAACAGTACAGTGGGTAGGGTGTTTGCCTTCCAGATGAAGCTGATCCGGGTTCGATCCCCGACATCTCGTATGGTGCCCCAAGCACTGACAGGAGTAATTCCTGATGCAGAGCTAGGAATAACCCTTAAACATCGCTGGGTGCGACCAAAAAAGGACAACAACAAAAAAAAGGAAACAGAAAAGTACTTTTTCTTCTTTTTGACTCCAAGTTTCACTTAAAAATCTAACCAGCAGATGATCAAATGTGCATCATTCTATGATCCATGTATGTTTTCCTAAGAAATTTTAAAAAGTGAGACAAAGGACTTGCCTTGCCCATTTAAGTTAGGTTGGGCACTGCCTTGCCAATGGCAGACCAGGTGGGGACCCCAACACCCTATTAAGGTCCCCCAGACCAACCAAGAATGATCCCTGAACACAGCCAGGTGTTAAGCCCCAAGCACTGCAAGGTGTGCCCCCCCATCCCCCTCTGCCACAAAAGAGGTCTAAATAAAGCTGAAGTCTCATAAAAAAGAAAAAAAAAGACTAACAATGCAAAGTTTGAAATATTTAAGGGAGTCCAGGCAAGATGTAAGTACACTGATGACCGTGATGCCCGCAAAGGCAGAGCAGAGGCTGCTGTACACCTTTAGCTGGTGCCTCAGCCCCACACAGCCTGCTGGCATCGGACCCGACTTCACTGCAACCCCCTCCGCCTAACACAGCCGTTCCTCCGCACACTTGTGACGCCAAGGTGACACACAGGACACGTTTGCTTATTTTTATTTCAACATTAAAAACAGGATGGAGCTTTATCGTCATTGCCATCTCCTGGGAAGATGTACCGAACACAAAAACAGGTATTCCACAATTACAGAATTACATACTTGTGACTTGGTTATTTTTCCCTACAGTGATCTGAATAAACACCACTTCCAATTTAAGAAAAAAAAAAAACACTCCAGATTTTGCTGAATTTCCATAGTGAACTGCCAAGGATTTTTGGAAAGATTACCTCAAGGTTAGCACTCTTTAAAATTAACAGTCCTCATCAGAAACATTCAAACAATACTCGGTTCTCTCTTACCCTCAACAGTCAAGCCAGGATGTACGTATATTTTTTTCCCTTTCTAAACACATCAGATTATCACCTTGGGAGCACATGTGGACTGTTTGGTAGCTAATGAGGTAGTATTCTTCAAAAGATCTTCGGCATTATAGCACAAAGGAGAAAAAGTCCTTTTTCTTAGAAAATGATACTTTAAAAGACATAAAGGTAAATCACCCAAAATACCTGCCATAGTCCAATAAACTTCATTTTGGCATTAGAAGGTAAGAAATGGCTGCCTTGGAATGCAAACATTTACCTTTCTAGAATTTCTTTTATGGGGGGGGGGGGGGGACTCATATCTAATGGTGCTGGGGGAGGGGGGCACTCCTGGCATAGCTGGGGGCCATACATGTTGCCACAGAAGAAAATCTATGCTTCCTGTGTGCAAACCACGCAACTCTAGCCCAGAGTTCTCCCCAGCCCCTCCGAGAAATCTTACCAAGAGGATGAAATATAAGACACTGTCTCTTTAATGCGATGTCTGCCTTCCTTCTGGATTTGGGGGCCACACCTGATGGTGACGGGGATGACCCAGGCCTTCCACATGCGAAGCATGAGATCAACCAGTTAGACTGGGAATTTCTCCAACCCACTTTTTACTTGCATCTACTTCTCAACTCTTTCCTACACACAGACTGAATTCTACATATGGCATGACTCAGAAATGCGTGTAAGTGAATTTTGCTATTAGCTTACCAAATTCTGCCGGAGAAACACTCCCTATATGAAAGTTTTAACAACCTAATGGCATAGCTAGCAATGCCTTGCCATCAGATTTCAGCTTCATCCGTTAGCACATTGTTCCTAAGGCAAACCCCCTCCCGATAGTCACACACCGAAGAAATGTGCCCATTATCCACTCATCTACGACTCAAAGTTCTGTGCTCAGACTACCCTTGGTGAGGCACATAAGGAATGTTTTCCAAAGCTACCGAACAGGCCCCTTGTGCTCCCAAAGACAAGCTTTCTTTTTTTCAGGGGTGGGGGAGGGCTGAGCCATACCCAGTTGATGTTCATGAGTTACTCATGGCTCCGCTCTCAGGATTTATTCCTGACGGTGCTAGGGGGATCAAACCTGTATTATTTTCTTATGTAAAAAATACTTAAAACATATTTTTTTAAAAGCTAACTCTAGGTGGCCTGGAAGATAAGTTTTGAACTCAAGTCCTTGACAATTCTATAAAATGTTTTAGATGCAGCAATCAAACGATGTAATAGTGAACTCTGACTTGGCAATAAACATCTGAGACTAGCTACCAAAAACAACTGTCAAGAATATTCTGGTGTCCTCTGCTCCCTGGAACTTGACATCGTGAAATATTTTTAACTCTCCTACCTAAAACTGTGTCCTATGAGTATCAAAATAAACGCGTCATCATTTACTCTGAAGACAGTTCTTCCTCATCAATGTCACAATCTTCCATTTCAGCTCGAAGCCCCCCTCACATCTTTTCCGTAAGGCACACTACACTCTATTTATTGCTTCACAGTTCTTCAAATCTGTGCCTCGATCTGCGCCTGCTTCATCGTGTGGTTCAGTAAAAATCACTTCGGAATGCCTGCTAAAACTCAGTAACGTTCCGAGTCAGGCCCAGCAGGTTGAGTCGAAAGCAGCTGAGTCTACCAAGGCCAGAACACACACCTTCCCCTGGAGACCGACCACCTCACCTCCTGTGACCGGCAAGGACGGCGAATTTTCTGGCTGTATCCCCTCCTCAATGTTAGGAAGTAAAATGTTAAGACTACCAAGTTTTCACAATTTTTATTAAATCCTAATCTAGTTAACAGGATTTGATTTCATAGACATCATCTCATGGTGAACACGTTGAGTAAGAGCAAGCAAATCAGACAACCCGAGTTATTATTCCCCACACACTGAGCATTGACTACACAGAACACTAGGGGATGACAAGACTGGCTCAACTGCCATACAAGCCGGGCTGTTTCTCTGTGCCCTGACACTGACACAGCTGATCAGTGATTGTAGTCCTCATATAGTGTTTTAGTTACAAGTACCTAGGATAACATTTTGACAGTTATACAAAGACTTTTCAAATTAAGAAAACGCAAGAAAAACAGCAAAATGTGAACTGAAAACAAAACATCGGGGAAGTTACTATGGGAAAATGGCGTCAAGGGAAACAGGGGCAAGATAAAATAAGACACATGTAGACGTCTGGCTGGAAAAAAAACCTGATCAACTACGAATTTCACAAGTGTTTTTTAAATTCAATACAATGCAAATCCTTTGAAAACACCAAAGTTGAGTTGAAATGAAAAGATCTATACACTGTAACTTTGGGCCTTAAGTACCAACTTTTCTGATCAAAAAAGGCCACAGCAGTTAAGATTGTGTGACGTGATTTTATTTTACACTACATGGTGGACACAAAGCCATCCTCCTTAAAAAAGGTGACAGTGGGCTTCACTCAGAACATTTTAATAATGTACGTTAAAAAAAAAAGTCTTCATCTTACAAATTATTCTGCAATCCAAATATACAATCGCTTGGAAAACAACATTTAGAAAACAAAAGCCAATGTAGAAAGACAGATCAAAACAACTAGAACAGTACAGGCGCTGTATGGCTCTGGGGTTACAGTTTCCTTACTGCATCGTCAATGTCGGCAATCTGTTCCTTCAGCTGGCTCCACTGCTCAGGATTTAAAGAAATTCCTAGGGAAACAGTGAAAAATCCAAAGTTTAAAATCATGCTTATTCTTTGGTGTTGGTTGTGGTACAGAAACATTGTACCCCCAAACAGACACAGATTCGTGTAAAAAAAAAAAAAAGAAAAAAAATCACTGCTACTTTTTATTAAAACCCCGCAATATGGATTTTCCAGGTGGGTTGTAACATAACACAAAAACCTTATTTCCTTATTTGATACTTACCTGATACTTCAAACATACTAGAAGCAATCTTGTTATTTTCTAAATTACTTCCTATAGACACTCAGTACAAACATAACCAAACTGAAGTCTCACTGGACACATCACACATGGCAAAGAGAAAGTTGTAGTTAACTACAGAATGGAAAGATTTCAGAAGAATTTCAGGAATATAATGGTAAGAAAAAGAAAAATGTGGCACAGCATGGGATGTGGCAGACAGTCTGAAAAATGCAAAAATAAATGTGTCTTCAAATAAAAAATCATGCTTAGTAACAGAGCTAAGAGGCCAGGCCAAAGACAGGAAGTTCTGTTTAATATTTGCTCAAAATTTCCACTGGAACTCTGGTGTATGACAGGCAATTTCTTCTAGAAGTATTCATTTTACTTTGAAAAAAATCCCCAAGACTTGGTCGATATTTAGCTATTTAGACTAAATACAGATGCTCTGGTTAAAAGTACATTCTGAAGTCAAGCTGTCAGAGTTTAAACTCCACCAGTTTCAGTATCACTAAATACCTCAGGAGGGAAAAGGCCCTTCCTCTAAATCGGTTAAAGGTACCTTAATTTCAAAGGGTCGTCAGTGATTAAATAAGCTATCCTGATTTTTAACACTTAGCAATCTCTAGGCACAGTATTTAAAACGTCAGCTGAAGATACAGCTTTTCTATGTAAGAGATGATAAGCTCGAAGAGGAGTATTCTGTAGGTAAAACTCTGAATGCTCTAACTCCAGAACCATATATGCAGCGAAATATGTACCAAAATTAGAAGCGTTTTCTCAGAAAACTGCTAGTAGGCCATGAAGCGGAAAGGAGAATGTAACAAGACAATACCGAGGAAAGGTCTTAAAGCTAATCAAATTAAGAGTTTGCAGGAATTGAAAATCTGGCACTGGAACAACCTGAATGACCAACCTTGAACAAGAAAACATCCACGGCTTTGAGGAAACAGTTTAATAAATCCAAAGCTAGCCTGAAGGAGGCAAGCAGAGACTTTCCAAGGGACGTGCAGAGGGCAGAAGAAATGAAGGAGGCGCAGAGAGCAACCCAACAGGGGTGTACCTCTCGTACTGCTGGGCTTCCCTGTTGAGGTTGGGCTTTTTGTTGTAATTTTTTTTTTTAAGCAAATCGAAGATTTTCTAATTGGGGTTTTTTTTTTGGGGGGGGGTTTGGTTTTTGGTTTTGTTTTGGTTTTTTTTTGGGGGTCACACCCAGCAATGCTTAGGGGATACTCCTGGCTCTGCACTCAGGAATTACACCTGGTGGTGGTAGGGGATGCCAGGGATTGAACCTGGGTCGGCCTCATGCAAGGTAAACAACCCTCCCCGCTGTACTATCACTCCAGCCCCTAACTGGTGTTTTTAAGAAGTCCACTGAACCCTTATTTATGAGAGGATGTGCTCATGTCATGTCAGACAACAGGTTCGTGGTTTTTAGATATAACACTAGTGTCATTTAACAGACAATAGTATAGCAAAAATAGAGTATTATAATTGTTGTAATTATTTTATTGTAAGTATAAATAGCAGGCATGGTATAGTATAACTTTGATATGCTGAGAAATCAAAAAATGCATGATCCTCACTTTATTGCCAGACCAGCGTAGACAGAACAGCCTGAGCACTGCCATGAGTGAACCAACACCACCTCCTCCCTCCAAAAAGAAAAAAAAATTTCCTTGAGACAAACTCAAGTACAGATTAAAAACAAGATTTTCCAATTTCCCAGTCAGTGCTTATCACTTCAGAATCAATGAAGTCTGCTTTTTTAAAGGTACACTTAAGTGAATCAGCAGGTAATTGGAATGACATTAGGGGTATGGCTTTTAGCTGAGTTTGACCCCGACAGCTTTACACAGGGATCCGCCTGAAGGAACTGCGTATCCAGGAAGCATGCAGAGGGGGCCAAAAGAAGGAGGGGCCTCCGTGCCGATGTACTACACACAGCACTGCAACTTTATATAAGACAGGATACTCAGATCATTTTCCACTTATCCCAAAACTAGGGCCAAATGCATCAAAGCAAACAGCTCACCTTTCCGTCCAGGCTTCATTTCACCTTCTGTATCCATCCAATATTCTCTAATGTCAATGAGGACTTTGCCTTTGAAGTCCCGAACACTCACGTACCGCATTTTCCCAATCTGCAAAATAAACAGAAGGTGTCCGCTTCAACACTGACATGCAGGTGTGCGTCTCAAGTTCTGCATGCTCCTTACACGCTGCCAGGGAAAACTGTTCTCAATTACAAATAAGAAATGAAAGGGGAAGTGTCACTGTGAGAAAGAAGCCATCTTACAAGAACAATCAAAGTGCACATCATACCACCAATCATTTTCACGTTAAAATAATTTGTAAAATAGCTCAATCAGTAGGGAACAACATGCGGATCCTTTAAAATTATTTTAAAACAGGGGCTCAGTGCTCAAGACTTGCACATGTGAGGCCTGGTCCCACTCTGGAACCACTCAAACAGTATTATATGACCCGGCACCCCCACTTCTGGGAATATTATCGAAAGATAATCAAGTTGGGGGGCAGGGAGAGAGCTCAAGGTCTCAAGGTGCTGAAGAGTGTACCAAGCCCCAAGTTCCATCCCCAGCATGGATGCCCATCCCATCCCCAGGCACCACACGGGTATCCCCAATGACCCCCCAATACTGCTAGACCCGGTAGCCTGTGCATTACCTGCTGGGCACCGTGCAGGAGACCCTTGGGGAAAACAGGGAGCAGAGGCAAGGTCTTTACACATATCCAAGCAGCAGAGTGCTAACAGCAACCCCCATGTCCATCAGTAGACAGACACACAGAATCTAGTATATAAACGGTGGAATACTGGTTAGCTTTACAAAAGTATAGTTCCACCCTGACCTCCCGGTTGTGCCTTTCCAGTACTTTTTTTCTTCTTTCCTGGGGTCTCCCAAGCAATACTTAGGGATGCAGAGACTACTTGGGTCCGGCAAAGCTGAGCGAGCAGGGACTGGACGTAGTGTGCCGTGCATTCGGCTCTCTGCTTTTTGCTCTATGCCTCCAGCTCCAAAATTAAGTTTCTAAAATGAAAATCCCATCGCACTTGACAACCTAGCTGGAAGCTGTAAAAACTGTGCTGGGTGAAACCAGCCAACCACAGCAACACACGGACTCTATGATTCCACAGAAATGTGACCACCACACCACCATGCTGACGAGTGGTGGGAAAGATCAACCCTGTGCTCAGTGGTCTTTTCCCACTAGAAATTATTACAAAAGAAACCTAGCAGTATGAACTAATAGCAAGCGACTCCGTACACAGCGCACTGCACCGAGTCGGCAGTTCTACATAAATTTTTCTTCTTTTGAGTGATTCCGGCAAGGGAAGCAGGGCCTCATGAATGCAAAAGCTTTACCGCCGAGCCACATTCGTGGCCTCTGTTTTAAAATTTTTAAGAAACGACCATGTTGTTCCATGTTGGTTGAGCTACTGAAGCTACTGATTGCTTTGGGGTCATAACCTGAGATTCTCAGGGGTGACTCCTGGCTCTGCACGCAGAGTTACTCCTGGTGGTGTTCGGGGCACCATGTGGGATAACAGGGATAGAATCTGGGTTGGCCACGTGCAAGGCAAGCACTCTACCCACTGTACTATCTCTCCAGATGCTGGCTGAGCTATTTTACAAGTGTTTGTTTGGGGGGCACATCTGGCAATGCTCAGGGTTTACTTCTACCTCTGCTCTCAGGGATCACTCCTGGCAGACTCAGAGGACCATATGGGGTGTGCCAGGGATTGAATCCGAATTGGCTGCATGCAAGACAATCTGCTTTACTATCTCCCTGACCTGACAAACTCTGCTGATGTAAAAATGGAGACGTGAAGCCAGAGAGATAGTATAGCAGGTAAGGCATTTGCCTTGCACGCAGCTGATCCCAATTTGTTCCCTGGCATCCAGTATGACCACCCCCCACACACACACCACCACGAGCAAGCCAGGAGTTAATTCCTGAGTGCAAAGCCAGGAGTAACTACTTGGCATTATTGGGTGTGACCCCAAAACAACAAGAAGCGTCTCTCTCTCAAGAGCCTGTAACTCCTGCACAACTCCTAGTCCTGCACAATACACTCCTTCTTCTACATTTGGTCCCCTTACCCTGACCACAGCGGTAGGGCGTTTGCCTTGCACGCAGCCAACATGGCCTACCCGAGTTCGATTCCTCCGCCCCTCTCGGAGAGCCCCGCAAGCTACCGAGAGTATTCGATATGCCAGACACAGTAACAACAAAGTCTCCAATGGAGACGTTACTGGGCCCGCTCGAGCAAATCGATGATCAACGGGAGGACAGTGACAGTGACCCTGACCTCCTGTGTTTCTATATCACGGAACTTACCTATGTACCATCTTTTGCCTATAAATTCCATGAAACCACAAACCATGCCTACCTGACTCATCAATTCTTGTCTAGAATGTCTCAAGTCCTCCTGGAAATATAATACACGATCAATTTCCCATCCAAAGAGAGGACACTTTCCTCACACTTCCTTACATATGATTTATAGTTTCTACTGATCAATCCTCCTAGTTCTTAAATTACGAGTCAGAACTAAAATCCCAATGAAAGAATTTTTTCTGATCAGTCTTTTTTTCATGCATCTTTGATACATTTAGTGAAAGGTTACTCCAATCAAAAATTTCACTGTCACTGTCATCCTGTTGTTCATAGATTTCCTTCTCGAGCAGGCACCAGTAACGTCTCCTTCGTCCTAGCCCTGAGATTTTAGAAACTGCCATATCCGAGGCTCTTTCAGGGTCAGGAGAATGAGACCCATCATTGTTACTGGTTTTTGGCATATTGAAAACGCCACTGGGAGTTTGCCAGACTCTGATCAAAAAAAATTTTTGTCCTCACCGGGGCCCCTTGGAGGAGGGCCGGTTGAGTTTCCCTCAGGGGCTTCCCAGGGTCACCCGGCAGAGGTTTCTTCTTTCAGTCTTTCAATCAGGCCCCCAAAGCCAATCTGACCACATGTGCCATTAAAATTTTCCTCCCTTGAGGAACACCCAAGAAGAGCTGAGATAAGTACCGGGAGGTCTGTTGCACAGCTTGGAAGCCGGCAGCAGATGCTCGGGGAAAAGGCTGTTCAGATAGAGAAGGGAACACCAAGTAAAGGGTGTTTAGAGGACTCGCTTGAGATGTGAGATGCATGCTGAAAGTAGGCTACAGACCGAACAGGATGGCCACTCAATACCTCCATTGCAAACCACAGCACCCTGAAGAAAAGAGAGAGCAAAAGGGAACGCCCTGCCACAGAGGTGGGATGGGGGGGTGGGAGGGCTACTAGGTTCATTGGCGGTGGAGACTGGGCACTGGTGAAGGAACGGGTACTCAATCATTGTATAACTGAAACCCACGCATGAAAGTTTGTTAAGTCTACGCCTCATGGTGTTTCACTAATAAAAAAAAAATTCTCTCTCATCGTCACTAACCTTTATTCCTTCAGCCTGGCATTTAAAACTGGTCTTCATTCCCCCGGTCCAGCACTCTTCAAATCACTGGGCCACCGAGCAGGGGGCAGTGTGTAGGGAAGGTTGGAAAGCACCAGTCTCCCCCTTCATCGTAAGTGCTAGTCCGTGGCACGGCACACAGAAAGGTGCTGCTCCACAGCGGGGAAGAAGGTTGAGGAGTGCGGGTACAGGCCGGTCTACCTCACCGTTAGTCACCGGCATCATGTCTCCTTTGGGAGAACGGCCCTCATCACCTACCTCACACACAGACTTAGGTCCGCCACCCGACGAACTACAACTGCACTAGCCTGCTCCACAACCCGCCAACACACCTCCCTGCAGCAGGAAACCCGAGATGGGCAATACCAGCCCGGAGTGTTTGCATGGAGTCCCACTAACGAACTCCCCCCTTTCGCTCGCTCTTTACCCCCCACTGCCTGCTCACGCACAGTAAGTCCACTCCAGGAACCGGCACCCCCTTCCTGGTCATCCGCTGCATCCTCCGCAGGACCAGCCGAATCGTCCCAACTGCTTTTTGACAACTTTTTTTTTTTTTGCGGGGGGGTGGGGTGGGGGGTTGGCGGGTGTTTGAGCCATAGGCAGCAGTGCTCAGGACTTACTCCTGGCTCTGAACGGAGGGATCACGATGGGTAGTGGTCAGAGATGGCACACTGGAGAGCGAACCTGGGTCAGCCGTGCGCAAGGCAAGTGCCCTACCTACCCAGTGCAGAATCGCTCCGGCCCCTTAACATGTTTGTAAAAATACTATTTCTATCTTTTAAATTAATATTGCTTTATTTTTTAGTTTGGGGGAAACTCTGAGAAACAGTGCTTAGGGACTCTTCCTGCCTCCCTGCAAAAAGGAGATCCAGTGCCAACTGATACCAGGTATCAAGTGGTACCATATCAATCAAACCCATTCTCACCACATGCAAGTAGGCACTTCAGCCATGGGGCCGATAAACCTGGCGATAAATTCTCACTGTTCGAATCTCATAGATTTCTTCGACTTCAACAATAGCATATAAACTAATTTCCGTTTTTCTACTGTGCTCTTACATTTCATGAGTGTCCTTAAGAGGATTACACCATATGTAAAAGATCATTAAACATTACCGGATGGTGGAACCTGGACCGTCTCAGACTCCAATTGGACTAGCTCTCTAGACAGAGGACACCCACCTGGAACATGTTGTCATCTCTGCTACTGCTCTGCTTGGACGAGGCCAGGGCACGGGAAGTTTCCCCAGTCTTTTGCTTTTTCACGGGTTTTTCTGGAGTAACTTGCTTTTTCCTCTTCAACTTGAAAGAGAAACAAATGGCTGTAATTCCCACACACACCTCAGGTAAAGAATCGGCCACTTTGTATGATTACAGATCTAAACACTACACAGAACATAAATATTTCATAGTTTCACTTGTCAAAGAACAATAAAACCAATCTAGCACTAAGAAAGGGTTTCCAAACTGTGTTCTCAAGGAACCCAAAAGATACTTCAGTGATTTTATTCTAAGAAAATGATCATACAGACCAGGACCCCACCTAAGATTTCTCTGGGAGAAAAAAAAAATGGTAGGACTACCTTTGAATTAACTTTCAGAAACCACAGGTCTGCTAACGCTAATCAGTTATTTTTACAAACGGGACACAGTAATTAAGAACAATACCAACTTTCCACTTCTAGGATATGATTAGCTCACAATTGGCCTATAAAGTTTATGAGTAAGCTAAGCAAGCTGTTTTATACTTAGTACTGGGTACTAGGTCAACTACTCAAGAACTCTCATTAAAAACTATTACTGGATATAGACAGCAATGTGTTGGACTAGCACTCAAAATCAAAACCCCTTTAAGCACCCTTCATTATGGGGCCTGGGAGACTGCTCAAAGGGCTTCAGGACATGCTTTGCATGCAGAAGGCCCAGGTTTGGCAACCCCTCACTCCCACCCCACACTGTCCTGTATGGTCCCAAATCCCAAAACAAATAAAAGCAAATTATAAATGGTTTCCATATGACCTCATTCTTAGAGCCAAGTCTATGAAAACCCGTAGTCTCTGACCCTAACAGTAGAGGGCAGTCATACGCCTTAAAACCCATTTAGATTTTTAATGATACTAGACTACATTAGATGAAGTTTGGGAAAAATATAACGTGGATGTGTATAGACACTGGGTAAGTAGGCTATTTTAAGTGCTTACGAGACTAATAGTACTATCTGAGACAAATAGCAAAAACTAACTCAGATCAATAAAAGCAGGGACCGAGGTGATAGTACAGCAGGCAGGGTATTTGCTTTGCAAGAGGCCGACCAGGGTTCGATTCCCAGCATCCCAGATGGCATATGGCCCCCTGAGCACCACCAGGAGTAATTCCTGAGTGCAGAGCCAGGAGAAACACCTGAACATCACCGGCTATGACTCAAAAGGGGCAAAAAATGAACAAAAGCAAGTCCTTACATCAGTGTCCAGCTCAATAAAAACGTATTAAATAAAATTATTCAAATGTTATACCACAGGCAAATTAAAAATTCGAAGAGGGCAGGAAGACAGCTCTGATGGCTGGATATCACATCCCCACAGAACCACTAGACATGGTCAAAAACAAACAAGTGGGCGGGGGGTGGAAGGGAGAATTGCTTCTCAAGTATTGCTCGGTAGGCTCTGTGAAGCCTCATTTCAAATGTGCAGGTGGTTATATAGTCTGTATTCCCCTCCAGAGTTCTCCCAAAGACACAATCAAATCAGCCAAGGTGAGATGTACCGCTCACTTGGAGAGGGTCAAGCAAAGACCTTCCTGGAAGGAACAGCGCTCATCGAGGTGCCTGGTTAAGCAGAATGCACTGCTTACAGCAGAGCTACCATTTCACACAGGGGGGAAAAAAGGGGGACTATTTATCACAGACTTGGCAATTCCAAAATGCCTATAATATACCGGGAATCAATCTATGGGGAGGTGACCAGAGTTAATAATCTAACTTAAAAGGTAATAAGCCTACATTTTAGACATATCTTGGCAGGCTGGATAAATACAGTGATATCAAAATCGAATTCCGCATTCAAGGAGTTGAAGGTAATTCAACCAAACTACAACACATTAGGGATATTGGTTGGGGGCAGGTGGTGCCACCCCCCCCCCACATTGCTTATAGCTCGTTCCTGATTGTTCTATGCTGGGGGTCACTACTCAAGGTGCTTGGGGACCATGTGTGTCAGATACCACCAGCAGGCACTGTCTCTGTGGGCAGGCAGATTTCTAAGCACAGGCAAACAGCTGCTCTGGCCTCATTCTAGGCTCTTATCCTGGGACCCTTTATGGCCTGAGCTCTGCGGCAAGCTTCGGGATTCCTAAAATCCCTCTGCCGAAGACTGGTGGGACGGGTACAGGGGCCATCGCAGGCCCTCCCAGGGAGGTTCTCCTCTGCTTGTCTGCCCTTCAGAGATGCCAGTAAGGGGAATCACTGCAATGGCTCGGGGCAGCTCAGTCACCTTTTTGTCTACTTCACTGTCAGAGTCACTGCCAGAAGAGCTTGAAGAAACAAGTTCCTTTGACTTAGGCATTCTGAAAGGGGAAGAAAAAAAAAAAAAGCACTGTAAATAATTACAAAGTGTTCCAGCTGCACCGCCCCCCCAATCCAAACCCAGTTCCACGCAGTGTTGACCCTGAAGAAGAGTCACAGAAGGTCTGAGGTCTCCGCTCTACCCAAATGACAAGTGCCCAGCAAGAATGAAAGTGCTGGGCATCTCTTATCTTTCTCAGACCAGTGGGGCTTTTCCTGCCACCGGGGACCAAGACGGAAGCTTATGGGCAGGGGAGCGGGCAACAAGGCTGCCAGCTGTGGGTCACCACTGCCTTCTGCGCCTCAGGGCACCTCCGTCTTCCACCTCACCCACCGAGCCCGGCTCCACCTAACGCTGCCACAATCATCCCCGAGTCCCGGCTTCTGCCTGTGCTTCCCAACCTGCCTCGGCTCTGCGGCCACTCTAGCCACATACCAAGGGCGGATTCAGCGTCACCACGTGAGGCACAGTTCAGTGCTCACAAGAGGGCTACTAAACCCCCGCTTCCCCGCCCAGCCTATTTCCCCGAAGCCCCTCCCACACGGAGGCCCAAAGCTCCTGCAGATGCTGAGAGGAGCGTCCTGGGTACTCAGGACCAGGCCTCTGCATTTGAGAGAGGCACGGGTCTGCTTAGAAGCCAACCCCCACATTTCCAGGCATGCTTAGTACCTCTATCCCAGGCACGCCTGGAACTGGGGAGGATGGAAAACCCCGCAAGTCTCTGGGGCATCTCCAGGTCCAGCTGGGTCTTATTCCGCCTCTGGATGCCCCCATGCCCATACACAACAGGGAACGTCAGCTGAGCCAAAGGCTTCATTTTTTTTTTTCCCTCTCCAAACTGCGCTCCAGCACCAGCATGCCCAAGGGGTCCCAATGAGCCCCCACCCGCACAGGAGGTCAAGGTCAAAGTGGACCACGCCCGGTCCCCCCCCCCCCCACCAACTTCAGAGAGGGACCTTAGGGCCGACCCCGTGGCGGACGGCCCCGTCCATCCCCACGTTTTGCGCCCGACCCCGGGGGCCGGCCTGCGCTCTGCACCACCTCCTCCTCCACCTCCTCCCCGGGATCCATTTGGTTGCCTTTTATGCTCGCTAATAACGCCAGGAAACGTTTTTTAAAGGCAATTAAAGCGCACGCAGAGCAATTTTCTCCCTGGAAAACCGCCGGGCCATCCAGGGGGGGTGTGGGGGGGAGAGGGACCATCTGTTCTTTTACAGGCGCTCGGGGCCTGCGGGGCCTCTGCGAGCAGCAGCGGCGCGGGGCGCACCGCCCCGGATCGGGTGGGATCGGGTGGGATCGGAACCCGCCCACGGTCACCCCAACCCTCCGCTGCAAGCGTGTGGGGGCGGGGCAAGGGAGAGGGGGAGTCCCCCCACCCAAATCCATTTAAAAAAAAAACAACTTTCATTTCGACAGGCCCAAACGAACGCGGCAGGGCTGGACCGTCGATCCTGCGAAGGGCCCCCCCATGCGCTCGGGGGGTGAGGGCAGACCCCTCCCCGCCCCGGGACAAGGGACCCTCCCTCGATGCCCGACGCGGCTGCCATGCAGGCCCCGGGTGGGGGGCTGGGGAAGGGAGGTGAACTAGCAAAGAGGCTAGAAAAACCTGGGCCGGGGCAAGGGCCCCCTCCCCATCGGCGGGGGGGGGGCGGCCCCGGGACGAGGCGGGGTGGGGGAGGCACGCGGCGGGCCGGGGTGGGCGCGGGAGGCGGCGTGGAGCCCGCGCGGGTGCGGGTGCGGGGGGGAGGGCGCAGCGCCCAGCGCCATTTTCTTCCCTCGAAGCGTCCCCTTCCCTCCCCCAACCCCAGTCTCAGACCCCCCACCGCACCCCTGGCCCGCCCTCCCCCTCCCCCAGCATCCCCCTTGACACCCAGCATAGCTGGGGAGCAGGAGCGGGGGAGCCCGGCGCCACCTCCGGCACGTCCAGATCCCCGCACGCGCCGCCTCCCCGGGCCCGGGTCGACCCACAGGGTCTCGGGGTGCCAGGGTGGGGGGGCGTCCCGGTGGCCCCCACGCCCAGCCCACCGCCCCCACCCCAGGCCGTTCTCGCCAACCGGCGGCTGGCGCGCAGGGGCCGGGGCACGCGTGGGGAGGCGGGCTGGGCCGGCCATCGGGGTCCGCGGGGAGGCTGGGGACGGGGAAGGGGGCTGGCGGCGCGGAAGGGTGCACGGCGGCCGGGGGCCTCGCGGCCAGCCCGGGGTGGGGGGGATGGGATGGGAGCGGGGTGGGGGCGGGGTTCCGCGCACTCACGCTCCGCGAAGGCAGCCGACCCGCTCGCAGCCTGCTCGCTCGCGAATGACAGAGAACCGGAAGTGACGGCGGCCAAGAGGCGCCGGCCGCCTCCCATTGGCGGTCCGGGCACGTGACGGGGCGGGGCCTGCCGGCGAAACCTACCAGGAGACCCTTTCCAGGTCCTTAAAGGGACCGCCCGACGTCCGGGACTTCTGTCTTTTGCCTCCTCCGGAATGAGGCTAAGAGTTGGAGCTTCCCCGTCGGTGGATGGAAGATCCGGTAAAACATGAATGACAAGCAGAGACCTCGGCCGTCCGTACATGTTTCTTCTATTACAGGAAACGGCTCACACTAAAAACAAAAAAATTATAACCCGTTTTCCGTCAATATCCCTTCCCGCTTTCCCCCCTCCCCCACCAGTATTCGGCAATGACAGAAAAAGAGAGAAAAGCAAAATCACAGCATTTGATTCTAGAAAATTCCAGGCATCTTCAAAAGTCTTTGACCAGACACACATCTTCATCCCTAAACCGAAGTCCTTGGAAGAGTAAGGAAGTTCACAGATGGCAGAGAAAACCAGTAATGCAAGAGAAATACATAGCTAATAGACCGACTAGTGAAGGAATCAAGTTCTATTTACCCAACACACACATCACAGCACCAACTGTGCGCTGGGCACTGCCCGTGGCACTTTCCATTTGTTACTCATCCTAACAAATGCTTTTCAACCTGTGAATAGTTTGTTCTCTCCATTTTATGGAGGAGGAAGCCAACGTTAACTGGCCTAAATGAGTTGCAGGAGGTGAAGGGATTCACTCCCATTTCAGCCCGCGCACCGCGCAATGCTGAGCTGGTTCACAGAGCTCTGCCCACTGCTACTTTATGCTGTCAGGCTAGAAGGCAACTCTTTGAAAACAGAGTATGGCTCTCCAAAAGAGAGGAGAAGTCGTCTAAAGGGACCAAAGTTATGTTATTCGCCAAGGGAGTGTGAAGGAGCAACGCTGAAAAATCTCCTTCTGGGTAATGGTTCTCCAAGTGTCGAGATAAATTTCACCTGATAATTGTGTACTTTACAGTCCTTAAGAAACTTTTCAGCAATAAAATTGGGAAAAGATGGAAGATAAAAATGCTAAAATTTGGGGCTGGAGCAATAACACAGCGGGTAGGGCATTTGCCTTACACGTGGCCAACCCAGGTTCAGTTCCCAGCATCCCATATGATCCCCCAAGCATCGCCAGGAGTAATTCCTGAGTGAAGAGCCAGGAGTAACCCCTGTGCATCTCCGGGTGTGATCCAAAAAAAAAAAAAAAAGCTAAAATTAAATTGTAGGGGAGGAATTGGGGGGGAGGTCATACCTTTCTATGCTCAGGACCTGGCTCTGTGCTCAGGGATCACTTCTGGTGGAGCTCAGAATACCATGAGGTACCTAGAATCGACCCAAATTGGTTGCATGCCAGGCAAGCGCCCTCCCCTCTGCACTTTCATGGCTCGGGCCCCTGAACCATGAAAAGATGGACCACAGCTAGTTATCACTGTTCATTTGCAGGCCATGGATCCTGGACCCTCAGACGCAGTTCAGGAAGCCGCATTGACTCTCTGGCAAGCTGACCGAAGCAACAGTGTCCTAAGGCATCGTGAGGGTGTCTGATGGGGCTGAGCTCATATCCTGGAATAACCAGAAGATCTCAGAGCTGCCTGGGCCTTGGGATCCTTGTCTTCCTGGAAAGCTGGGTGCTAGTGGAGAAAGGAAAGAGTTCCAGCACTGGGGGAAATCCTTTAGTTCCCAAGCTTCCCTCCCTCCTCAGCAAGGTCAGAAGAGCTGTCAGTCCATTCTGCTAAGAAAACTACACCAAGGGGCATGCCCCGCTTGCACATGTCGAACACCTACTGTATGCCAGCACAGCTCCACATGCTGGAAAATCAGATGCATCATACTGATGGCATCCCTGTCAATTTGTATAGCAGACAAGAAATAAACAAAGCAAAGATGGCAATTTCAAAGAAGTACAGTAATGAAAAGAAAAGAAAGGAAAAGAAAAGAAAAAAGTATGAACTGAGGCTTATAGTTATGAGAAGAACAGGAAGAGACTTGATTGAAAAGGGACAACCAGGCCAGCATGTTGATATCGTGGGTTCCAGCAAAGTGAGTAGCAAGTGCAGAACTGCTCGGCCTCAGTGTAATGGTGCATTTCATAAAGCAGTCACACATGTGTATTTGTAATGATGCACAGCTGAAAGTTACATGTTTTAATGCAGTGTTGCTTTGGTTTTGCTTCTTTGTTTCTGGGGGCTATACCTGAAAGTGTTCAAGATATCCTACTGGTTCTATACTCACTCAGGAGTCACTCCTGGCATATCTCAGGGGGCCATGTGGGATGCCAGGGACTACACTGGAGTCAACTGTGTGCAGGGCAAGTGCCTTATACCCTGAGCTATCTCTCTGTTTGGGGTATGTGTTTTTTTCGTTTGTTTGGTGTAGGGGGAAGGTGGATTTTGTTCTGTTTTGTTTTGAGCCCTAAGGTCCAGATGAGTCTGAAGATGAGAACATTCTCATGATCTAGGATAGCAGAGGATCAGGGGCTGCTTGCAAGTGAGAGCTTCGTACAGCAGCTTCCTAGGCCTAGTGCCCGGCCACATGCCCCACCAAGTGCTTGCTCTGCATTGCTGCAGGGACATTTGATCTCCTTTCCCAAGATCCCAAGCAGAACCACTGCCTCCTCCTCCACTTCCCCATCACTCTGACTGATCAGTGCCAAGAAATCTCTCCTGATTTCCCTCCAGGGGTAACTGCCCAGAGAAATAGATTGAGCTGGAGGCAGCAGAACAGGGAACCTGTTTAAAATTCCATACAGAGCTGAGCCTCTGGATTGGAATGGAACAGGAATGCTTCAAAGAGGAGGGCAGGCTTTGACTTGTCCTGGGGAGATGAGAGAAAATGTTTGGGTCAGAAAAGAGGAAGACTGAGCTGGGTTTCACCTCAAAAGTAAGGCACACTGATGACTATTGAGTTGACACTTTGTATAACTGAACCCCAAGCACAAAAATTTGTAAGTCTACAACTGTACCTCATGGTGTTTCACTACTAAAAATTTAAGGGGGGAAAAAAAGAGTTGGCATGGAGATAAGTGGAAGATCTGTATAGAAAACTAGTGTGAAGTCAGGTAATAAAGGGTCCAAATGAAGGTCAAGGAGTTTGGGTTTTACCTCATCCCACAGGAAAAAAAAATAGTGGGTGATTTTCCAATCAAGGAAAGAAAACATTTTAGAATGTGTGGGATCTTTGAAAGACTGAGTTGAAGAGAGGAAGTGCCATTGAGGAGGGCCTGTGGATGACGGGGTAAGTGGTCATTCCTAGAATATCAAAGTGACGACCATCTGGCCTTTGCCCAAGCTCTCAGTGGGCCCAACAGAAGAAAGACTGATAGTAATAAGAAAAAGAAAGGGGCCAGGGCAATAGCAGTTGGCTTGCACACCACCAACCAGAGTTCGATCTTCAATATCCCAAATGGCCCTCTGAGCATAGAACCAGTAGTAAGCCCTGAGTACAGCTGAGTGTGACCCAAAAATCAAAACAGAAAAATATAGAAGCAAAGAAATAGTAAAGAGGGTAGGGAGCTTGCTTATGGCTGATCCAGGTTCAAACCTGAGCACTGTCAGGAGTGATCCCTGAGCACCACCAGATGTGGCTCAAAAAGGAAGGAAGGAAGGAAGGAAGGAAGGAAGGAAGGAAGGAAGGAAGGAAAGGAGGGAGGGAGAGAGGAAGGGAGGGAGGGAGGGAGGGAGGGAGGGAGGGAGGGAGGAGGAAGGGCAGAGGAGGGAAGGAGGGAGGGAGAGGGGAGAAGATGAATAAACAGAGAGAGGGAGGGAGGGAGTAAAAGGAGAGAAAGGAAGAAAGAAGGAAAGGAAGAAAAGTAGGAAGGAAGGAAGGGAGGGAGGGAGGGAGGGAGGGAGGGAAGGAAGGAAGGAAGGAAGGAAGGAAGGAAGGAAGGAAGGAAGGAAGGAAGGAAGGAAGAAGGAGCAAGCTAAACCCAAACTCACTAGATCCCAGTTCCTATGCTCTGAAACCTCTTTGCTGCTATTGGATGCAGAGAAAAGACAGTCAACCTTCCTTTTCTGCCAGTGATTATGGCACCACTGGGGAACTATATGAGCTCAGAATATCCACCAAAAACAAACACCTAGGCCTCCATGAGTCTCACACACACACACACACACACACACACACACACACACACACACACGAATGCAGTGGCCAGGAAGCAGGGACGCTGTGAACCACATCACAGTAATAATAGGTACAAAACAGTTCCCAGTAGTGAGCCCCAGACCCTTGGCCAACCTTGATCCCCACAGTGGGAAATCCAAGAAGTACATTCATATGGACTCGATTCCAGAGCACACACATGGCATCAAATCCAAAGTATGAAGAAGGACAGCATAAGAGATTATAAAGGATTCAGCCAAGAAGGCAGAGAGCCCTGTTGAAGTTCAGAATCCCAGGCTAATAAAATGACTTGGGAATCTAGAGGGTATGTGGGGTGGGAAATGTGGAGCGAAGAGGAGAATGGTTGACTCTCTTATAGAGCAGTTCCATCCAGGATTGCCATCCATCCCACGATCATTGAAGAAAGCTAAAGCTTCTTGCAAACAATGGAGGAAGGATGGAATTCTGAAGAGTGTGAGAGGCAAACAGAATACTGGGATGGAGTTCTGGTCTGAACACTCGTTTGAGTGCTTTCTTCCCCAGATCCTTCCCCTTCTCCTTCTAGCATCAGATAATTTTTAAAATTCAATGTAGGGAGGGATAAAGCCATGTGCCTTGCAAGAGTGAGGCCATGAGTTCAATCACTGTTGCTTCCCACATGCATCAAATATGGTCCCAGAGGCTCTGTCTCTAAATTCTCTGCTCCCAACAGATAGCAAAATCTCCATGCTTCAGCCAGCTGTGTGCAAGCACAATAGAATTCTGTGCTCAAGGAATATGTGCAGCCTCTTAGAGCACTACAAGTAAGAATGTGAGCACCGCGAACATGGTGAGTCCCTCCATCCCAAAAACAGCAAAGGGAAAGGAAGGGGGGAAAGAACAACTTTTTTTTTTAAGT